TAACCTGACTAACTGGCTGGTAAAAATTTGCAAACAAAATTTCCCGCTTACATATAGTATAGTATGACATTAGATTTTGCCACAATCGCAGAGCTCTCAGCTGTGCGGCCTGTGCTGACTGATCCCACTCACTCCAACACAACAAAATGGGGTCTAGCTGTTATGCCTTAATCCAAGCAGCTCACAAATCTTCAAATGCGTGTTTGTCCGCACTTTCGCCACAACTTTGCCTGGTTTTCTTCAAAAATCCGTCTATTATTTTGTCCTGTATGAATTATTTTCACTGATGTTTTTCCGCCATTTTGAATGAATGTGGCGCGGTACTTTATGTAAGCGACAGGTTTTGGATACTTTTACTGGAATAACCGCTGGACTTTGCATATCGCATATTGGCGCTTTTGCATGCATTTTTGACAGGCGTGATTCCAGTGATAGGTAGGACAAATCAGGAATATATTTTCAAATTGATGAAAGAACGTTGTCTCTAGTTCCTGGATTAGGTAATGTGTCCTCCCACAGGCTGTCATACCTACAATAATCATGTTGAATGGCATTTTTATTTTCCGGTTAAATAAAAAATGAGTAGCGGAGAGAAAAAGGAAAAGATCGTTAGAGAGCAGAAGAAAAATAAGGAAGCAAACGTTGGTGTTAAGGTGGGTAAGGGTAGTCTAACCTTTGGCGCAGATGCAAGGGTCGAATTCAACAGTTCTAGCGTAAAGAACTACAGATACATGAAGAAGGGTGAATGCTGTCCGGAGCCTAAGCCAGAACCAAAACCCAAACCCAAACCTGTCAAACATAAAGGTAAGAAATAAAATGGGATGTCTGTCCTCAAAACCTGAAACCGCAAACAGAATAAAGTACAACAAAAATCATAAAAGGAGAAAAATGTTCAACCTTGGCATCGGTATCGAACGAGGAGACATCACGATGAGCGCACATACCCAAATCGGTTACGCCAGCACAACCATAAAGAAATACGGTAAACAAAATGATGAAAGTACCACGGAAACTAGTGTGGCTGTGCCTGATCAGCCTCCTGCTAATTCCGATAACGGTTGAGGTTCTCATTGTTATCGTTACCCTAAGACTAATACTTCAATTTTAATGATTTAATAAACATTAAAATTTATTCAACATAATCCCAACCTAATGTCTCAAATATTTTCCTACACCGGTTGTGGGGATCCTTCCCCTTAGGAATCCTAAGTAAAGACCAATCGGCCTCCACACCAAGCCGTTTACATACCTGATAACTAATAATATTAAGATTAGGCAGTCTCTTCCCCTTAGGTTCCTCTGCCTCACAAACTGCGACAATCCTATTTATGACATCAGACGATCACCTTCCGAACAACTCATACCCGGACACACCCTTCCTCCTTATAAAACCATGGTCGATGGTAGCTGGCTTACGCCTCATAATTGCTCTGTCCCAGCAGCCGTATTCGGAAACGTAATGGGTTCTGCCAAGTATTAGTCCACATTCACAACACGTTCTTTCCTCATTTATACCGATAAACTGATGTTCACACCCCTCGGAACAAAAACGTCCGTTAGGAAATTCCACAGGTTCCGGCTCCCTAGGACCAGGAGAATCCAAGTACTCCTTTTCCGCT